ACTGTTGCCTATCCACTGCGACCCCAAATCATTACATGCTGTATATGAAGATCCTTTGAGTATATACGGACATATTGATATACGTATTCAACTGTAAAAACAAGTAAGGAAAATGTATTACAAATTAAGGTCTATAAGTAAACACTGGCAGAAATAGACTACAACTCGGTCTTGTTAAATGTGACATGATCATTTAACGTTCTATACCTGGGGATATATTACATGGTTAAGCAACACAACATACAATTTTCTTAGTAACATCCGTCATACTGTACGTATTTCGTATATGACTTGTTATATAATTAATTTTCATTACAAGTTGCATGTCACAATCCGTATGTAACGTGTGCATTATCACTAAATTTTTTTAACTATAGACGGAGAAAAAAAATAGGATAAAGACAAATATAAAAGGGATCAAGATGAATACAATGGGATTAAGAGGACTATACAGGAATTAAAATGACAATAAATGGATTAAGATCAACAACGAGAGGATTTATCAAGGTAGATCATCTCTTATAACAAATGTGTATGATGACTTGAACCGCTCAATATGGCTTCCTGGGACTCATAGGTTACGAAGTTTATTTAAGGATTTATTATTAATATTATACCCAAGATGTTAAGTAACCAAGTATTAGATGTTAAGTAACCAAATGCCACCCAACACGTTAAGTAGTCATACTCTTTAAACTGTAGTCAACTTAAGAGCTTCCCGTTAGCCTTCCTAATCAATAATCCTTTACACTCTACGTGGAGAAGTCAAACTAGGGGAAGGAAATTTGGCTGTTGTCCGGAAACAGTTTACTTCAGTGTTTGGGATGACCACAGCACCCAAGTCCTGTACCTCAAAGTTCACAGCCGTCCAGTGAACCTAACACTGCATTAAGTTTATCAAAAATCACACAAAACTCGAAAGGAAAACTATTTTAAGATATTGCACTGAGAGACTGTTTTATGGACGGACAGAGGGAATAAAAATGGAGTGGGTGGGTGGGGGATTATGTCTATTTTTTTTAAGGATACCAAAACCCTTCTTGTTCGTTAAGTATTCCATTCCCCTAGTACGTAATTTTAGCCCTGCTTTGAACACGTGCTTGCGGCCTCTCCTGAACACACACACACACACACACACACACACACGGCCTCACCTTTACACACTTACAAATTTGGCCGTGGTGCTCTCCCCGCCAGGCCAGGTATGTGCGGTACTTCCCCTACCATCTGGACCCCCTCCTCGCTTCTCAACCTCCCCGTCACTCTTCCCACAACCCCCCCCCCCTTCTCCATCACACGTTTCGTAACCCATCACCCCCCCCCGATCTCCTGCCTTTCCCACCACCCTAGTTACAGCCTACTCACCCCCTACCAGTACCCCAACACCTTGGTCCTAACCCCGTCTAGACAGTCCCGCCGAGTTCTTAGTAAGACTGGGTCGTGTCCAACACAGCGGCCCAGTGGAGCTGTTACCACCACAACCCTCACACCTGCCTGTGTTGACACCTGCCCTTACTCACGAGTTACAACACACACTGACTCGAGTAAATGAAGACAACGTACCATTTCTTCAGTGGACTAATACCACAAGCTGGGTGTTAGAGAGCTAGTGTCCTTTGTGTTATTCTAATACTCCCCCACCCTTCCCCCTCTCCCGCCTGCTCCATCCTTTCCCAAGGTCTCCCAAGACTGCAAGAAGAATGTCCTGTCGGGCCGATGTGCCCCACCATAAATCGAGGCCGTCTCCCACCAACTTCAACTTTACGCCATTATTCCCACATTCCAAAAACTATTTTTTCAATAACACGCGATAATTTCTCCAGCCCAGAAGATACAACACCACCCCCTACACACAGATGACGACCAGCCGTCAGACAGAAACAACTACCATTACCGACACACGGAATCAGTGGCCGAGACCGCAGGCTCCAACAAAGCACATGTGCCTTAACACCAAGCAACACGCTGCAAGCAAACAACCCAGGGGGCAGACAGAGGGCGTCACCTAACATGTGGGGCACACCTCCAGGCATCATGGCATTTCCTCTCTAACACACACACACACACACACACACACACACGTACGTACGTACGTACGTTCGCGGGGGGGGGGGGTGGTGTTAAGGTATTCTCGGCATTCTTGGAAGACTTACTCCTGTTTATGTGTTGCCCTCACCTCCGCCATCTTTCAACGCATCTCTTCCTTGTCTCTTACCGTCAACTGTCATCACCCTACATCTCATAACATCACCCATCTCCCACACACAACACCTTTACTTAACGTGACACTAAGAAAATACTGCTTGTCACATGTTACGTCGACGACCCCATGACGTTATAATCTGTGTATATATATATATATATATATATATATATATATATATATATATATATATATATATATATATATATATATATATATATACAAGTAAATCACTATATATAAGAATATGGAGCACGGGAACAGAAAGCTCGAGGAAGAGTTAGTGATCAGCTTAAGGCAGACTTCAACAGCTGTGGTGAAGTGATCCAGGAACAATGTACCGTCACGCACAACAGGTACAGACTAGTGATGGTAACTGTCATTACATGTTTACTGGACCACCTGCACGACGAAGGCAAAATAACTAAAGCATTTAAAACAAAACAATGGTCCAATTAACGTTAAGTGGATAGGGAACGTATTAGCACTTGGGAACATATTAACACCAGTGTACATGTTTAAATGACAATCATGACCAAAACACTGTCTTCAAGTTTTAACAGTGTGGATTACAGACGAACATCACATTACCACATATGTAAAAACCGTACCCCAGTGTCATGTGTGCGAGTCTGGTTACTGCTTCACCTGGAGACACAGTCGTGGTCACTTCCAATAACTAGCAGTGTCCGTTACAAGACTAACGAGGTTATCATAAAACTATACCTTGCGCTCGAGACCTCACTTGGATTATGCAGAGGAGGACTCATCCCGGGCATTAAGGAACCTTTAGTATAGACATTAAAGCATCTTAATTTGAGAGAGAGAGAGAGAGGGGGAGGTGTATAAATGGAAGTCAGGGCTAAACAAAGGTACTTAAACTATCCAACCAGGAGCCAACTCGTAGCAACGGTTTAAGATTAGACAAATTTACATTTAGGTGCGAGAGAGGTAAACACTGGTTTGGAAATAGAGTAGTGGATGAGTGAAACAAGTTACCAATCATCATTAACTCTGAACACGCTGGATAGCTTCAAACATAGGTTGGATGTATATATGAGCAATAGGGGTTGGGTGTAAACGGGACTGCCCAGTATGTGCCAATAGGCCCGCTGCAGTTTCCATTCCTATGTTCCCACGCCACATCCCACTCTCCCAGGAAAGACACTCTGTATTCCAAAATCGGATCACTTGAAATTCTCCAACCCTGTTTATTTCACGCAAGATTAACCACCCTAACCTAACCCCATCCCCTCGAATAGCGTTATAGTAGTTGATCTTTGGGTGAAATTAGCTAGAGTCCAGATTCTTCAGGCGATCCCTAAAATATCTTACGAAACTATTAACTGACCCAAGACACAACACCTCAAATAATGGAAGCTACTCGAGAACGTCATCCAAGACTCGGCAAGGCCCCACAAGATCGCCTCACTGTCAGACTTGGCGTTACTGGCCTCCCGGGCATGACCTATCTGCCTGGATCAACATGGCTAACACCTTCCCTCCACACCATCGAGCGAATACCAGCCCTGGGAGGTATTTTAAGTCCAGACATAAGTAACCTTTACATTCCCTGAGCTTCACGTATACTGATCCTCCTGTAGTACCCCCCTCCCAGACAACCATGACCCATTAGTGTACATCAACAACCTCTCATTACCCCACCCCCCTTGCTGTAGCTCACAACATAAGAGCCATAACTGTTGATTTTAAACAGCTTATAACTACTGACATACTACTGCTTGCTTATTACAGACAGACACAAGACAGACCTACACTGATAGCTATACCCTACCGCTCGGGTCCAGAGATAAAAGACAACACCGTTACAAAAAACACTCTCTCGCACCATATTTTACGCCACGTTACAATACATTACTAATCAGGAGCCTCCCTCACTCACCTAATTCGGACACGACTTCAACGACAACCGGCCATGATGTGTAGCCCCCCGCCCCGTGCATGACTCATTCTTACTCTCCTCCCTCTCTTCTCCTCCCCTTCACCCTCCTTTCTCTCTCTCCTACCCTCCTCTCCCTCCTTTACCCTAAAACATCTTTTATCTTTCCATCTTAATCCCCCTCTTCCCCCCACCACTAACACATGGATTCTCACCCCAGCCTGTATCACCTGTTCCATCTTCAAAAGGCGAGTCTTAGAAAACATGGTCACCGGGGGTCTGCCTCTCGCCTCGCACACTTAATACTAATTTTAGGAAGTTTTATTTTTTCCTTGGCGAGCAAATACTCACAAACAATACACTCCCAGATCTTAATAGGGTCTCGTTAAGTCTCTCTACTGGGTCTCGTTTTGAATTCTCGTTTCTACTGTTTGTGTTGGCTGTGACTACATCCATTTTTTTTATCTTACATTGACACGCCGCCTCCTCCTCCCTCTCTTCTACTCTTCCCCCTCCGATGCTGGTCTTCCTTGAGCTTAACCGCAACCACTTCCTCCTCCTCCTCCTCCCGGTCCCCCCCAACCCGTGAGTCATAGGGCGGGGTGACTCCACTGTATGATGCTGCTGCTGCAGCAGCAGCAGCTGGTGGTGGTGGTGGTGCTGGTGGTAGTAGTAATGGTGAAGCTAGTGGTGGTGCTGGTGGCAGTGGTGGTAGGAGTGGTCGTAGTAGTAGTAGTAGTAGTAGTAGTAGTAGTAGTAGTAATGATGATGATGATGATGATGGTGGTGGTGGTAATTGTAAGAGTAGTGGTGGTGTTGTTGAGTGATGGTGGCAGTGGTGGTGGCAGGAGTGGTGCAGTAACACAACCCTCCCTGATCCACCCAACACGCCTCACCTCGAGTTGCCCAAGCGGATACCAGAGTATTCAAAGCACAACACCGACGCTATACTACATCCAACCTCACACGTCGCTTGTACCGCTACCTTGTCCCTACCACGTACAGCTTACTGGAGGGTTATCTACTTCCACAGGTGTAGGCTAGGGCTATGGGGGCTTATACTGCTCCTCTGTTATCCACGACGCTGGTCTCAACACCCGAGAGGCCTGACACACACAGTCTACCAGCACGCTACTAGCCAGCCAGCTCCATGCGTCTCTCTCCACTTGAGGTCACTTAAGAGAACATAATCCGGAACAGACAACCGAAACCTTCCACACCACAAAAGTTTCAACTGACGGAGAAAAAAATACAACAATTACAAGTCGTGTTGGTTAGTGGGACGCCAACACACAGACAAGACAAGACGTTCACTATGCATGCAGTCCAATACTTTACCAGCCTCTCCCGTCCAACCACTTGATGACGTCCTTACCTGCAGAGAAAAAAAACAATACGTAAATGACTCGTACATAAGTAAACAATTTATTTTCCTGATTATATATTCCCTTCTCATACTCAAGGAAGGACCTAATTGTTACCTGTACACAAGACCAAAGACAAATTAAGGATACCTGTAATTACCAGCTTATTGCTAGACTCGCACCTCAAGGTTAATTATATAAGGTAACACACCTACGCCCTCTTGTGTAACACCAACAATCTTGAGAACAATGTACAACCCCGAGTGACCTTTGTAAGGAATAGGTCGACTGATGGCCACTATCACAGCCACCTTGAATACATTATACCTACTGCTTCTATATATCATCGTTAAATACAAGATGTCTCAAGTTATTATTACTATTAATTTATTATTGTCAGTAACACTATGCTGACAACCTACACACATACGGTAATGAATGTATTTGTGTGTCTATGTACATATGTATGTACAGTAGCTAAAACAACTATCTGTACATACTTTGTGGGAAACAATAAGACCATGGACGGTAAATTTTGGTATAGGAGGGCTGTCACTAGTCACACGTAAAAATTTCGGAGCATATCGACCTCCACCTGCACAGATAGTTGTTTCAGCTACTATACCAGTACCTAAGTTTGAGTATGAAGAGATACCTGTTGTACTCTTTAATGGTTTAACACTGCGTTAATTCATACAGGTGAATCCCAGATACGCACATACTACAATAAACTTAATACTATAAAATTATTCTCAGACGCTGACGCCGCAGGTCATCCAGTAGCACTTCCTGTCTTGGTAGACTTGAGCTAAATTTAACCACAGTCCACCCCACGAGTCGTCGAGTACACCGAGTAATCTGAGAGTTCAAGGTCACGTGTGCAGGAGCCGGTACACCCCAGTGAATGGTAAACAGTACGGCTAAATTATAACTTATTTCCTCAACACAACTCGAGTCCAACATGAAAAGGACCACCGTTAGTGGTCATGTCCTTACACAACATTTTTGTAACATTAAATTGTACGCGTTAATTATAACCGTTCTTCATAAATCTAGTAACTCCATAAACTACGAGAAACTCGTTATCATCACCACAGACGTACACTGCCGCAGTGTGAACAGAGCCCTGTTTAACAATGGCGTATTATACAGTTAACTCGCCCTGTAAAGCACAGGACCTCAATAGTTTCCTTCTCTTCCACATCTGGTGAACGACTACAAAATAAATGAGGACCAGACCATGCATAACTGTAAGTCTAAATGTGCAATTTTTAATTTATTTTTCCTTTCAATAACTCTCTCGTATAACTTAACTATACTTCAACTATCTACTGACACTCCCTTATAGTTCTCCAACACCTACAAGTTACGACATTTCCTGCCCAACACACCAGACAGAGCAGTGAGCTTGCCTCCAGTGATGCTGACGATACTGAGCCCACTCGCTACTCTCCTCAACCGAGTTCTCTTGCTTCATGAAGCGTTTTTAACCATTTCCTGGAACGCTCGCTGCCAGGCCTCGTTCCCTCCACGACGTCCACAGCGGCAGGCGGCCCCGCCAACCCGCCCTGGAGACGCCACTCTGTCCCAGGGCCAACACGTTACATTCCTACTCCAATATCCTCACCAGAATTATGACTTGATATTGTCGACCACTTGTCTAATATTCTTATAGAGCAAAATAATACCATGTAAAGGACACAGCTGCCAAGTAACTTATGATAAAGTTTATAAATCACGTCGACTCGAAATACTATATCCTTAGTAAATTTTAATTCCAACTATTTTTTACAGGATATTCATTGAAGTTATGTTTAGATCCAGAGAATATAAATCCTGTGCCTCTCCCCACTAAAAACAAGAGCAATTTATGAGAGAGACTGCTGTACCAACTGTACCTAACCTATAGAGACTGCTGGACCACCTTATCTAACCTGTCCTATAACAGACCCGAGGGCACTGGTCACGTTAGGGTAGGTTGTGTTGGTTCTTCCTCAGTTGAATTTCATTATGCATTAAAACGAATGACTACATCTCCTTTAAAAAATATAAGCGTGGTGAAAATAAACTTAAACATTTACCAAGACCACACTAAAAAGTTACCGAACGTCCCCATTAAACACTCCAAAATTAACCTGTCAACTCTGAAAGGCTACGGGCAAAAATCTTGATATTTCCTCTTAAGACCTCGCAGATAGTTGCCAGTTAGCACCCACCATTCTCTGGAGCAAGCGACCACCACCACCAACACTAAACAGAATATTTTCTTGTCGACCAGAAGAAAAAAACACGGCCACCAAGACCCGGCTGACACACGTTAGTTACCCCTAACTCAAAGAGAAAATGGATAAACACCGCGACCATTTTCTCTCATATTTTTGCTGTAACTAAATTAAACATCCTCACATACATTTCGTTTTAACTAGCGTATGTTGCCTATTTTAACCACTAAAAAGTTATAGTAATGGAAAGAAATATACTGTCTAGACACCTTTCAGTGAAGTGGAGTCAATGCAAAGCTTTCCCCATGGAGTATTATTGAAACTGACAAGTAAAATACAAGAGCTCTTACAAGCGCCAATCAACAAAGCCACACTCACCCCTTACTGTGTGCTGGAGTAAGACATATTACCTACCTACCACGTCTTGTTTACCCCTGCTACACACACACACACCCCTTGCACTCAAATCACAACACCTACGTTACGCTCACTTAATGTACTGGTATGCGTAAAATTACCCACTGCCTGCCGCTGCCCCCCCCACGCACACACACACACACAGTTTCAATGGCAGACGATCACCCAAGTCATTAGTACCAACCACAGAACTGCCAAGTCCAATTAGCATAGCAATTACGAGCCGCACTAATCTCCCCCTATTAACCCTTATACTCATGGCAAAAATTCACTAGTTACGGCAAATTGCGACACACACCTCATGATTATTTAAAAAGACTAAAGCCTACGCACCATATACACACCTCATTCAAACAAAAGCCTACCTACAGTATACTCTACTGAAAAACAAAAGCACACAAAAACGATAGTCTCTCTCTCTCTCTCTCTCTCTCCTGACGAAGACAAACTGAATTAGGCCCGTATTGACCCAACACCCGGATATGAAGCGAAAACAAAATCAAGGATTTTTTTTTAGATATAAATGAAAGTAAAACAACAAACAGGGAAGAACGAGAAAAACATACCGTCTCGACTTGAAAAAATTATTAAAACAAATGACTGAAACACTGCATCCGTTGGTGGGGAAACACATCACCTGAAGCAACACAAATCACCTAGAGATAAATACACAGAGTTAAAGACCACACCAGCGGGGAAGGACACGCACTTGGCAATAGACTCCCCCAAGACAACAGAGGGACACTACGGAGACAAACTCGGGTCAGATGGTGGTAATAGTGGCTGTGAGTGGGGGGGAGGGGGGATTGGAGGGGGTCAGGATGGGAGGGGATGAGGATGGGAGGGGAGGAGGGGGAGGAGTGACCATAAAGAAGGACAGTGACAGAGTGTGGGGTAGGCAGGTACGTTAATCTTTATGGACAGGGTAGCCCATGGGTGGCCGGGGTCCCCGATACCGTGATTTTTACCTTATTGCGGCCATGTTTTACCTCCCAGCGAGTTTAATCTCTCCATCCTCGTTATCAGAACCCCGGGTGATTGACACTGGCGCCGACCGGTCCACAGACCCACCCCATCCGACCCGACTCACTCGAGCCGACTGACTGACCGAGTGACATCAATACAATAACAATAAGCCGAGTGATTGGGTGGAACTGCTACTCTACATCCCCAATCCACAAGATGGGCCAAAGCAAAACACGAATCCTCTACACCTCTGATCACCCAGGACAAAAAGACCCGGGGGTGTGGGAGAACGACACAGACGGTGTGTAACCTGGGACAATAGCGAGGGGTGGTGGTGTGGGAGTCGGGGGTGTTTACTCGAAATACTTGAGATCATAATGAAGGAGAGTGAGACACAGAGGGAGTTCAACAATGAGGGTAAGTATGAGGCGAGACAGATGAGGTATGGAGGAAGAGAGGTGTCATTGTTCACCGACCGTGTGGTGGGGGGTGGGGGTGTGTGTGTGTGTGTGTGTTCTCTGCCTCTCGACATTCTTGCTTCTCTTTTACGCCCCAATCACACGCTAACTCTGTTGAGTCACCCCTGCACAGTAGCTAAAACAACTATCTGTGCAGGTGGGGTCGACGTGTTCCGAAATTTTACGTGTGACTAGTGACAGCCCTCGTATACCAAAATTTATCGTCCATGGTCTCTTATTGTTTCCCACTAAGAATGTACAGATAGTTGTTTTAACTACTGTACGTCACCGTAACTTACGTTTAGACGTTCCCAACCACCCACAACAGCCTCTTACCTCCTGAAACCACGAAAAACTAACCACAATTCTCCCAACCACCACAACGAATACAACCACAGCCATCTTACTACATACAAGAAATTATTCAGCTCAATTTTACAAGGACTCCACAAACTGAACCTCCCCTAACAAGTGTCATTTAATGTAGACAAGCCGGCAGTGACAACAACAGACTACTGCTACTATTGGGGCACCGGGCAAGGGGGAGGAGATGGGCCAAGTGCCACCCCCCCCAACACAGCAGGTGCATCATCGCCAGCTAAACAAAAGGCACGACAGATCCTATCATCCAATTGACAATGACGTTGTGTTATGATTTATGTCTCTCCTCTCCAGTTGCTTCTCAATTCATTTTCTGCTGGTTTAACACATCTTCCTTCCTCATCTCTCCACCCATTACTCTACCACCTCCACCCTTACCATTACTTTACCACCTTCACCCTTTCTACCACCTTCACCCTTACCACCACCTCCACCCACTCCTCAAGTACCCCCAACCAATCCCCCCCACAGAAAACTGGATTTTAATTGGACCTTCCATACTCCTACACAACCCACACTAAACTCGCCCTTCTAGCCCCTCGTAACACGGGTCACTGTCGCCTGGGA